CAGAGATCAATATCTGGAATATAGAGAACTAAAACTCGACAACAAAAAAACTGAACTTAATTCATAGCATGAATGCATGCAAAGCATCTGGATACACACCTCTTTAAAGATACATAAATGAGGGGCGCCTGGGTGGCTCAGTGGGTTAAGCCGCTGCCTTCGGCTCAGGTCATGATCTCAGGGTCCTGGGATCGAGTCCCATATCGGGCTCTCTGCTCAGCAGGGAGCCTGCTTCCCCCCCACCCCCCGCCTGCCTCTCCATCTACTTGTGATCTCTGTCAAATAAATAAATAAAATCTTTAAAAAAAAAAAAAAGATACATAAATGACCGGGGCGCCTGGGTGGCTCAGTGGGTTAAAGCCTCTGCCTTTGGCTCGGGTCATGATCCCAGGGTCCTGGGATTGAGCCCCATATCGGGCTCTCTGCTCAGCGGGGAGCCTGCTTCCCCTTTTCTCTCTCTGCCTGCCTCTCTGCCTACTTGTGATCTCTCTCTGTCAAATAAATAAATAAAATCTTTAAAAAAAAAAAAAGAAAAAAGATACATAAATGACGAACAAGCATATGAAAAGATGCTCAACAGCACTAATCATTAGATGTGCAAAACCACAATGACGTATCATCTCACACCCATTAGGATAGCCACTAAAGTGTTGGAAAAGGGATGGAGAAATTAGAACCTCTGTGGGATTATATATATTTTTTAAAGATTTTATTTATTTGACAGAGAGTGTGTGCATGTAAGCAGTGAGAGAAGGGGAGTGGCAGGCAGAGGGAGAGGAGAAACAGGCTTCCTGCTGAGCAAGGAGCCCAATGCCAGGCTCGATCCCAGGACTCTGGGATCATGATCTGAACCCATGGCAGATGCTTAACTGACTGAGCCACCTAGATGTCCCCCTCTGTGGGATTATAAAATGGTTGAACCACTATGGAGAATAGTACAGATGTTCCTCAAAAACTAAAAATAGAATCACCATATAGATCCAACAATCATTTCTGGGTATATATCAGAAAAAGAATTGAAAGCAGGGTCTTGAAGAGATAACTTGCATACCCATGTTCACTGCCACATTATTCACAATAGCCAAGAGATGGAAACAGCCCCAAAATCCACTGATAGATGAATGGATAAAGAAAATGTAGTGTACATACAAAATGGATTATTATTCAGCCTTAAAAAGGAAGGAAACTGACACATGCTACTACATGGATGAACCTTGAAGACACAATGCTAAATGAAATAAGTCAGTCACAACTGAACTAACAGTCCACTTACATCAATTATCTAGAGTAGTCAAATTCAGAGACAGAGCGCAGAATAGTGGTTCCAGGGGTTGGGGTAGGGCAGGAAATGTTTAATGAGTGCATAGACTCAGTTTGAAATGATGAAAAAGTTCTGGAGATGAATAGCTATGATGGGCACAACAATGTGAATGTAATGAATGCCACTAACTGTAAACTTAAAATCACTGTAAGGGTAAATTTTATGTTATATATATTTTTACAAGAAAAAAAAATCCTTTAATGGCTCTGAGGCCAGACAGGTAACAAAAATGAGTTCTGTGGGCACAGGACTAAAGGCAGTGGTGGGGGGAGAAGGAAGAGGGCTGGGCCTGCTTATTGCATCAAACGTTTAAAGTTTCAATCCTGCCTCACCTCACTCTCTCAACAACAGCAGCAGGTCATGTCCTAATGTGATTCTTTCCACCTTAAGCATTTTTTTTTTTTTTTTTTTAAAGATCTTGTTCCTTTGGTCCTTTCTCCATACTCCTACAAAATCTACCCAAGATGCTTACTGCCACTCTGAACCTTGGCAGCTAGAGGCTTCTCTCTTGGGCTTTTCAGTGTCCCTGAGTAAACAGTATGTGGAGTTGTTCATTTCGCCTTTCTTTCCCCTGGTTTGAGTGCCTCTCTAGAAACAGGGACCAGCCCATTGTCTGGGTCTTCCAACCCCAAAACAAGGTCAGAGCCCAGTAGCCATTCAGTCAATACTTGCTGGTGAAGAAGGCTATCTGAGAGTCTAGCTGATGGAGCCAGCAACAATGCTTCAGGACCCAGATGATGGCCACCAACAGAAGTAGGCCATTTAGGGAGGGGCTATTTGGGCAGGAGACGATTGTGACCAGGTTTTCAATATGTTAAATCTGAAATTACAGCAGGACATTGGTCAGAAATGGAACTGACCCTTGTGAGACAGCAGGTTTGGGGTTGGGACCTAGGGAATGATCTGCATCAAGAGGATGTTAGCTAAGATCAGGAGTGAAGACATCAATGAGAAAAAGAAGACCCAGGAACGAGCAGAGGCTGAAATGTGACCTGGGGAATGCCTGTTCCCAGGCAGCCAGCACTCACCACACAACTAAACTTCTCACAGGCCTCCTTTTATTAGGTTACTATAACCCAGAGTTTTCCATTGCTAAGAGATCATTAAACAAAAAGTATATATAGACAATGTTCTAAAGCAGCTATTTCTAAGGATGAACAATAAGGACACAAAAGTAATACTAACATCTTATAATCTGACACTGTTTTAAAAGATCCTTCTTCTTCTTTTTTTCTTTTTTCCTTCTTTTTTTTTTTTCCTTGCTCTCCTGTTCCTCTCTGCCGGTGGGCCAGTACAGCACCGGTATAAGACCCTTTTACATAATCAACTTTTATTATGTCCTATGTTAGTCTAAGAACCATGACCTACATGATCAGATTAATCTGATCATGGTGGTACAACAAATTTTGAGGCAAAGGTTGCTCTTTATTGAACTTGTCTACCCACGGGCGCCTGGGTGCTCAGTTGGTTAAGCAACTGGGCTCAGGTCATGATCCCAGAGTCCTGGGATTGCGCCCCACATCGGGCTCCCAGCTCCACGGGGAGTCTGTTTCTCCCTCTGACCTTTTCCCCTCTCATGCTCTGTCTCTAATAAACAAAAAAATAAAATATTTTAAAATAAATAAATAAACTTGTCTACCCACTAAAAAAATACCCTTTACATATGCTATATCCTGTTGCCAGAGACCCACAAAGCCAGCACTTACACCACACAACAGACAACAAGTTATTTCCATATAACAGTGCCAAGACCCAGGGAGTATCCGTAAACAGACTTGCCTGGAATCATGTGGTGAGGCACAGACAAGACTTTGTGGCTTCTGTCTCCAAATCAAATGTGCTCCATCATTTCACTTTCCCTATTAACATTAAGACTCTACTTTAGACAACCAAAAAATACTCACATGAAATTACATGCATATAATCTTTACAGTTACACACCAACAAGCTCAGCCCGACATAAACAGAGGCCAAACAGAAAACATTTAAGGGAGCACAGAGCTTGAAACAGCCTGGCCCACAGGCACCTCCATGTCCTGGAGGTGCAAACCTAAAAGCCAACTTCACTCCACTGGGTTAAGGTGTTCAGTAATACTAAGCACTGTAAGACAATTTCCAGAGGAGCAAACTGCATTTCCATGGGCACCACTAACACCATAGTGTAAATGTGTCAATTAGGTCCTTCCTAGAGGTCCGCTCAAGAAAACGACCCAGCTTTAGTTTTGTCCTTTATAAGTGAGAGAGAGTCTAGAACAAGGCCATAAGGAAGGGTAAGCCAGGTAGGGAATAAGGAGTAGGCTGGGAGTAGGGTGCGGCATGATGAAAGGTGCACAAAGGCAAACAGAGGTTTGACTCAGCAAACCTGTACTCATCTGGCTCCTGTCGGGGGCTACCCTCTGTCAGATGGAGGTTGGGGTCAGAGAGAATTTGGGTGTGGAACAGTGGTGCCGGAGACAGGTGCCTGCCCCATCCCTCAGCTAGCTTTCTAGGAGCTGGGGAAGGCAGGTGAGCTCTTGGAAATATAAGCTTTATCTGATATGGATCAGTGGCCACACAATCTGTTAGCCAGTTTCTTCAAGGTTTTCCTTTAAAGTATACAAAAGAGCCATGTGTGCAAATGACTTCCACATATGCTAAAAACCTATCCAAATTTTAATGACATTAACAAACCACTACTTGTTCTCCTGGAGGTTTAAACTGACTTCTCTCTCCTTTTCTGAAAAAAAGTACACATACATGAGTCAGCCCTGTTAACACCACCAGTTGTTTCCTTTCCACAAGACACAGTGGGCCGGGAAGCTCTTCCAGATCTCTATACATGGTTGTCCACCTCTCTGATTTTTCATATTAGGTTCCACAAGGGAGAGAGACACACATATTAGCCAACTGATGCTTACGAGGGAAGGAATGGGGGGTACAAAAACAATTTCTGGATTTATACTATTATGCCCCCCACTACCCCACCCCCCACAAACCTTGTTATCGTATTGGTAACACCAACAGGAGAACCTCCCCCAGACAAAACCGAATTCCCCACCCATCATGGCTCTTGCACAGTGGGTCAGAAAGCCCTTGTAATCACAGCTGCTATCTACCTATCCCCAAGAACCTCCCTTCTAGAGTTTCAGAATCCCTCACTGGGGGGGGGTGGAGGACTATGGGCTAGGACCACCACAGGATCTTGAAGGATGTACAATGTATGGCTTGGTATGCATGATCTTGGAATGCACGTGTCTGGAGGGACAACTGGAGCTACCCAGACACTTCTGGGTGGCTGATTCTGTTGGATGGACGCCTGGGATATGGAGCGCTGTGCTCATCATAATCAACAAAAACAAGTCAGGCTTTCCCCCAACCCTTAAAACCATTCTATGGCTCCGAGCTGAACTTAAGATAACAGCCACCCTTCCTTCCTCCATGGTCCCCTGTCCATCTCTCCCTCCTCTTTCATTTTCCTGACTCCAGGATTTCCACTGAAGGGAGTCGAGCCTGGTGTCCAGCTCCATCCACCTCAGGGTGTCTTTCTCCTTCTCTCTCTTTCTGGTAGCCTGGAGCACTGTTCGCTCATGCCTCAGCTCAGGCAGAACCGCCTTGAGCTCTTCTGGTCACCATAGCAATGTCAGAATTTACTGTCCTCCCATCTGCAGTAGTGTCAGAATGGCATGGTCTTGCCTGTTACCTGGGCTTTCCAACTGGGCTGTGAGGCCCAGGAGGCAAGGGGGCCTCGCCAGTCCTTCCCCTGTTGGATCTCCTGCAGCTGGCGCAGAGCTGGGAAGCGGGTCAGCAAACGCTGAATGAATGAATGCAGCAGCTCCAGGCTTCCTCAAGGTAGAGACCCTTGCTGTCTGGCCCACCCAGTAACCAGAACGCGGATCGCTTCCCTCACAGGTCAGCCGAACCCAGAGTTCTGGAAGGACTAATGGAGCCAGGACAGGAAGGCAACAAGAGAGAAGACCCGCGTGCGAATGACCCAGAGTCCGCCTGCTGGAGCCGCTGCTAGAGACCAAGGAGCTGACAGGTGTGTGGGTCTAGACCCCAAAACCCCGACCCTCTTCCACTCGGGCCCACTTCTGCGGCGCGCAGTACGCCGGGCTGCCCACGTGCAGCTGCTCGGGCCCTGCGGACTCCGCCAGCCCAACACGCACCCCCGGACCGCCCTTACCCGGCAGGGTCCCCTCTGCCTTACCACCGAGGGAGGTTCTGTTTCCCGGGAGCGCGCGGGCGCCAGAGTAAGCTTCCCCAGCTCTCGCTCCCAGCCGGTGTTACCGGGGCCTCCGCCCACAAGCCGCGATCCGGCGGATCCCGGGAGCAGGAGTCCCGCCCACGTGCGCGTTGCGTCACCCGCCGGGCGGAGCGGGCCGTTGGGGGCGCAGCGCGCAGGCGTGGCGGACCGGCGGGGCGGTGTTGGCCCCGCTGCGCAGACGCGGGCGGGTGTTCTGGCCGGTAGGTGTTGCGGTTCCCTTCAGAACAGGTTTGCCTACTGTCAGGCCTGGCCAGGATCTTGGCCCGTCTGGCCTCCAGAGTGCCAGTCCGGCCCTCGCCGGCGGGATTCGGCTGCTGTCCCAGCTCGCAGTGGTTCCTCTGGGCGGCAGGGCAGGCTGTGGTGCTGGCCAAGGAATTACCGCCCTAACCTCACAACCTTGACCTTGACCAGCCTGAGGAAGTTTTGAATTTTCCTTGGGTCCCTCCACACCTAAAGCCAGCTCCCCACCCCAGCCTTCTCTTTTGAAGGTCATACAAGACAGAAAAAGCAACTACAACAGGACAGGCAGTGCGATGAATCTCTCCTGTTCTTGACCCCCATTTTCCTAACTTCCCAGGTGCTGCCAAAGTTGGCTGGAGCTCCTGAGTTCGGTTAGGCATCCACGCAGGCTCCCGGTTTATTTAAGGATCATGGTGGAAGGGTCAGCCAGATGTCTGCTCAGTCAGTCCCCTTTTGCTCAGCCCAGTGCTGGAGCTGTCTTCCTAGCTTCTCTGGCGGCTGGGCTGCCCATGTGACAGCATCTGGGCAACGAGCCGAGTGTGTGCCTCCTCTGGAGCTGGTTTGGAACCGCCCCCCCCATCTCGAGGTGGTGTGGGGCAGGGGGAGGGGGAGACCCTGGGAGGGTCCTTAGTGGATTCCAGAAGCACACGGTGCTCTTAGGTCTGTGGTCCAGATGGTGGCACTTTTGAAAGTGAGTCAGTGCTCACCAGACAGGACATAGGGACAACATACATAGACCAGGAGTTGGCACGGGGCATGCCATCACCATGAGCACCTGCTTGGGCTCTGCCCTTCTTCACCAGGTCAAACTGCTGAGACTTGGTTGTTTATACAGCAGTTAGCACATATGGTCCCTTGTTCCAGGTGCTTGCTGTCATGAATAATGCTACAAGGATCCTAGAGGACTATTTTTGTGTGCACATGTGGGTATATCTATAGGAAAAATTCTTAGAATTGCTATGGTAAAGACTATGTCCTCCTTCCCCTTTTTCTTTTAAATATTAAGATACATGTGGCTAAATTGCTTCTTAGACATTGTACTTACATACCCACAATAATATATGGGAGTGTGGGTTTCCCCACTTTCCCCAGTAGAATCATTACAAACCTTTGTATCTGTGCCAACCCACTGTTTGAAAAATTCTATCTCACATACAGTTTAAATTTACATTTATTCTAATATTTTGAAATTTCTGTTCATGAAACCGTGATGACCTTGGTGAAGGTCATATTTCATATGGTCAACCATATTTCACTCCTAGAGTTTCTAGAATTTGTCAATTTCACTGACGTGGGCTTTTGTATATGCCATTCACTGCTTGGAAAGCTCTTACCCCAGGTCTTTGCTTAGTAAACTGCTATGGTATGAATATTTGTATACTCCCCAAATTTATATGTTCATATCATAAACCTTGAAGGTGAAAGTATTAGGGCCTTTGGGAGATGAATGTGATTAATGTCTTTATAAAAGAGACTCCAGAGAGTTCCCTTGCCCCTTCTGTAATGTGCAGTTACAAGCCAGAAGGCAGCCCTCTGAGGAAGCCAGCCCTTACAAACCAGATCTGCCAGTGCCTTTATCTTAGCTTTCCAAGCCCCCAGAACAGTGGGAAATACATGTTTGCTATTTATAAACCACCCAGTGTATGATATTTTTGTCATATAGGAGTCCCAATGGACTGAGACATAGATTCTTTCTCCTCCTTTAAGACTCAACTCAAATGTCATCAAAACATTTTATCTAGAGTGGTTCTTTCCCCCTCCCCCAATAATCTTTTTTTTTAAATTTACTTAATAGTACTTTTCAAACCCATCATTATTTATTTGCTCATTTGTACATTGGTATATTCCTTATACCTTACTGAAAGGTGAATTCCATGGAAGTGAGGAAGTGGTTTGTCCTGATGGTTGTTGCATGGGTAGCACCTAGCACTCTGCCTGGCATGTGGTAGGTACCTGTAGCAGACACTGTTTTTACCTTATTTCCTCAGTCCACTTCTGACTTCAACTCTCCAGTGGTGGAGGAGAGTTCTCATGAATGCTGCCACCTCAAGTAACTCTTTGCTGTCTGCTGTAGAGCTTACCTTAGAACTTTCTCTGGTAGCCCTGGGAGCAGGAATAATCTGGAAGTTCAGGGAAGTTAACCCTTAACTAATTGGGGTTGAATGCTTCAGCCTTCCATGCTTCATGAGAGTTGGATTGAGCCTGAGTTTCCCACAGTGGTAACCAGCTCAGTCATGTCCAGCCCCTTGGGTTGACTTTTTCTTCTTCCTTGGCCCCCTTTCCCAAATAAACTACTTAGATCTAAGCTCTTGTCCAGAATGCCTTTGGGGAAACCCAAACCAAGGCAATGCTCAATAAGTACTTGTTGAAGGAATGCATAGATTAATTGTAGTGCTTTGGCAGTTTTCACTGTTCAGCCAAGAAGCAGCAGCTCAGTCCTTCAGGTGAAAGATGATGGAAGCCAAGTGGCACCTGTTCTGGACATACAGGAAATGGGACAGATACCAACGATATGGGATGGCAGAAAATGTGTGCAAGTGCTCTGACAGCAGGGAGGCATGACTGGCCCTACCTTTGGGAGGTAAGGAAGTTTTAGAAGAGGTAAATGAGTTACTAAATTGCCTCAGTTTACCCAGTGTGACTAAGGACAGAGTGGCAGAAGCCCATTATTTTGTGCAGATGCTTGCTCAGATTTATCTACCTACTCACATCAATCCAGGGGGACATCTGCAGATCTGTTACATGAAACAGAAAAACATGGACTCCACACTGCCCTGGTAGCAGAATGTACCAGCACCCTCCCTGCCCCATATCCTTCCCACTTCAATCACCAATGATTCTCCCCATGACAGCTTTCTTTTGGCCCAAGCATGCCCGACAACTGGAAGCGCCAGGGAGCTAATGCTTCCCCTTAGCCAATGACAGGTGTGAATACCCTGGATCGTTCACCTCTCCCTCCCTTGCACCTCAAGTAGAACAACACTCTGGCAAGTTGTACAGTGTAATTGAGCCCCAGTTGCCCAGAGCAATGACCCATACTGGCTTACTCCCTGTCCCTGTCTTTCCTACCCTACTAGTGTTTCCTGGGGTCACACACTCCCTTTTTATTTAAGATTTTATTTTATTAGAGAGAGACAGAGGGAAAGTGAGATAGAGAGCATGAGTGGCAGAGAGCCAGAGGGGGAAGCAGACTCCCCACTGAGCAGGGAGCCCAACAAGGGGCTCCATCCCAGAATCCTGAGATCATGACCTTAACTAAAGGCACATGCTTAACTGACTGAGCCATCTAGGCTCCCCAACTACTTACACTCCTTTTTCAGCATTTGTTTTGGGGAGATTTTTTAATAAGACACCCATTGCTCACAGGTCATTTTGGTAACAAAATATCTTAGTCACTTCTGATTCTCTGGAGAGTATAACCACAAATTGCTGCTTTCCCATTCAAATTTTTCTTTCTTAACTCTCCAGAAAAGTCACATCCTCTGCATTCATGGCTAGCCCTCCATTTTCCAAAAGTACACACATGAAAAATGTGAGGGAAAACTTCCTCTTGCCCAGAGGAGGTTGTCTTTTATTATTTCTGCCTGCCACATTGGCCATTACAAGGTCTCCTTTGACTTCCTGATATATGGTCAACAGAGGCCACCTGGACCATAGTGATAATCTAGTTGGGACCCCAAGAAATGTGGCTATAACAAGAGTTAGTAGTGTTCTGGGTGATTGGGTTAACTATCAGACGGACTAATGTGGAAGATTGTTCTGTTTAGGGAACCTGGGTGGATCAGTGGGTTAAGCCTCTGCCTTCGGCTCAGGTCATGATCTCAGGGTCCTGGGATTGAGTCCCGCATCGGGCTCTCTGCTCGGCAGGGAGCCTACTTCCCCTTCTCTCTCTCTGCCTGCCTCTCTGCCTACTTGTGATCTCTGATTGTCAAATAAACAAATAAAAAAATAATCTTAAAAAAAAAAAGATTGTTCTGTTTAACTCCTTGAGCAGCTGCGTATTTGCTGTTCTCCCTTCCATGGAGTCCCTTAACTTTTTAATCATTAAATATTAATGTGCCCCTCATCTGATTAAGAAAACTTTCTTTTAAGAGCTTTTAATGCAGTTTAATAGTTTTAAAAAATCATTACAGGATGTTGAATTTTATTTTGTATATTTTACTAATCTATTAAGGCAATCATCTGAGTTTCTCCATTATTTTGTGAATGTGGGAAGTTGAATTTTGATGTTGAATCACTCCTGATTCCCAATAGAAAACACATTTAAAAAACTAGTTTCAGAGGTAGAATTTTTTTAAAAAGATTTTACTTATTTATTTGAGAGAGACCGAGCAAGCGAGTTTGCTTGAGTGCGCTAGCCTGGGTGGGGGGTGAGGGACAAGCAGATTCCCTGCTGAGTGGAGATCCTTTTTCCAAATGGCAGGATCTCCTTTCTCACGGCATTGTATCCATTGTATCCATTCATCCATTGATGGACCCTTAGGTTGTTTCCATGTTTGTTACTGAGAATAATGTTGTAATGAACATGGGAGTATAGATATCTCTTCAAGATACTAATTTTGTTTCCTTTGTTTTCTTTTTTTTATTATGTTATGTTAGTCACCATATAGCACATCATTACTTTTTGATATAGTGTTCCATGATTCATTGTTTTTGTTCTCCACTCAGTTCTCCATGCAATATGTGCCCTCCTTAATACCCATCACCAGGCTCCCCCCACCTTCTTCCATCTAAAACCCTCAGTTTGTTTCTTGGAGCCATGAGTCTCTCATGGTTCATCTCCCCCTCTGATTCTCCTCCTTGATTTTTCCCTTCCTTCACCCAATGTCCTCCATGCCATTCCTTATGTTCCCCCAATAAGTGAAACAATCTGATAGTTAACTAGTCCCATCCATGCTGATGCAGAAGTTGGGTATTCATCCTTTCTGATGGCTGAGTAATATTTCATTATATATATGGACCACATCTTGTTTATCCCTCCATCTGTTGAAGGGCATCTCAGCTCTTTCCACAGTTTGGTGACTATAGCCATTGCTGCTATGAACATTGGGGTATAGATGGCCCTTCTTTTCACTACATCTGTATCTTTGGGGCAAATACCTAGTAGTGCAATTGCAGGGTCATAGGGAAGCTCTATTTTTAATTTCTTAAGGAATCTCCACACTGTTTTCCAAAGTGGCTGCACCAACTTGCATTCCCCCCAACAGTGTAAGAGGGTTCCCCTTTCTTCACATCCTTCCCAATATTTGTTGTTTACTGTCTTGTTAATTTTGGCCATTCTAACTGGTGTAAGGTGGTATCTCAATGTGGTTTTTGATTTGAAGCTCCCTGATGGCTAGTGATGATGAACATTTTTTCATGTGTCTCTTAGCCATTTGTATGTCCTCTTTGGAGAAGTGTCTGTTCATGTCTTCTGCCCATTTTTTTTGGATGTGATTATGTTTTTTGAGTGTTAAGTTTGAGTTCTTTATAGATCTTGGATATCAGCCCTTTGTCTGTAATGTCATTTGCTAATATCTTCTCCTATTCCCTGGGTTGCCTCTTTGTTTTCTTAACAGTTTCCTTTGCTGTGCAGAAGCTTTTGATCTTAACGAAATCCAAAAAGTTCATTTTCACTTTTGTTTCCTTTGCCTTTGGAGACGTATCTTGAAAGAAGTTGCTGTGGGCAATGTGGAAGATGTTACTCCCTATGTTTTCCTGTAGGATTTCAATAGATTCCTGCCTCACGTTGAGGTCTTTTGTCCATTTTGAGTTTATCTTTGTGTATGGTGTAAGAGAATGGTCAAGTTTCATTGTTTTATACATAGCTGTCCAATTTTCCCAACACCATTTATTGAAGAGACTATCTTAAAAAAAGGTTTTTTTTTAACAAATAATGTATTATTAGCTCCAGGGGTACAGGTCTGTGAATCGTCAGGCTTACACACTTCACAGCACTCACCATAGCATATACCCTACCCAACGACCATAACCCAACCACCCTCTCCCTGACCCTTCCCCCCCCGGCAACCCTCAGTTTGTTTTCTGAGATTAAGAGGAAGAGACTGTCTTTTTTCCACTGGAAATTTTTTCCTGCGTTGTCAGAGATTATTTGACCATAGAGTTGCAGCTCCATATCTGGGCTCTCTACTCTGTGCCACTGGGCTATGTGTCTGTTCTTGTGCCAGTACCATGCTGTCTTGGTGATCACAGCTTTGCAGTAAAGCTTGAAATCAGGCAATGTGATGCCCCCAGTTTTGTGTTTCTTTTTCAACATTTCCTTAGCAATTCGGGGTCCCTTCTGGTTCCATACAAATTTTAGGATTGTTTGTTCCAGAACTATGAAAAATTCTGGTGAAATTTTGATCAGGATGGCTTTGAAAGTATAGATTGCTCTAGGCAGTATAGACATTTTAACAATGTTTATTCTTCCGATCCATGAGCATGGAATGCTTTTCCATCTTTTTGTGTCTTCTTCAATTTCTTTCATGAGTGTTCTGTAGTTCCTCGAGTACAGATCCTTTACCTCTTTGGTTAGGTTTATTCCAAGGTATCTTATGGTTCTTGGTGCTAGAGTAAATGGAATCAATTCTCTAATTTCCCTTTCTATATTTTCATTGTTAGCGTGTAAGAAAGCAACTGATTTCTGAGCATTGATTTTGTATCCTGCCACATTACTGAGTTCTAGTATGAGTTCTAGTAGTTTGGGGGTGGAGTCTTTTGGGTCTTCCATATAAAATATCATGTCATCTGCGAAGAGAGAGAGTTTTGACTTCTTCACTGCCCATTTGAATACCTTTTATTTCTTTTTGTTGTCTGATTGCCGTTGCTAGGACTTCTAGTACTATGTTGAACAACAGTGGCAAGAGTGGGCAGCCTTGTCGTGTTCCTGATCTCAAAGGGAAGGCTGTCAGCTTTTCCCCATTGAGGATGATATTCGCTGTGTGTTTTTCATAGATAGATTTTATGAAGTTGAGGAATGTTCCCTCTATCCCTATACTTTGAGGAGTTTTAATCAGGAATGGTTGCTGTATCTTGTCAAATGCTCTTTCTACATCAACTGAGAGGACCATATGGTTCTTCTCTCTTGTCTTATTGATTTGCTCTATCACATTGATTGACTGGTGAATGTTGAACCACTCTTGCACCCCAGGGATAAATCCCACCTGGTCATGATGGATAATCTTTTTAATGTACTGTTGGATCCGATTAGCTAGGATCTTGTTGAGAATCTTGGCATCCATATTCATCAGAGATATTTGTCTGAAATTCTCCTTTTTGATGGGGTCTTTGCCTGGTTTGCAGATCAGGGTAGTGCTGGCTTCATGGAAAGAGTCTGGGAGTTTTCCTTCTGTTTCTAATTTTTGAAACAGCTTCCAGAGAATAGGTATTATTTCTTCTTTGAATGTTTGGTAGAATTCCCCAGGGAATCCATCAGGTCCTGGGCTCTTGTTTTTTGGGAGGTTTTTGATCACTGCTTGAATCTCATTACTAGATATTGGTCT